CAAGAAGGAACACACCAAGGCACATCATAGTTACATTAGCCAAGATTCAAATGAAGGAGAGAATCCTAAAAGCAGCAAGAGATAAAGGGACAGTCACCTACAAAGGAGTGCCCATCAGACTGTCAGCTGATTTCTCAAAAGAGACCTAACAGGCAAGAAGGGGCTGAAAAGAAGTATTCCAAAGACGTACATCCAAGATTGCTCTATCCAGCAAAGCTTTCATTTAGAATGGAAGGGCAGATAAAGTGCTTCTCAGATAAGGTCAAGTTCAAGGAGTTCATCATCACCAAGCCCTTATTATATGAAATGTTAAAGGGACTTATCGAAGAAAAAGAAGATAAAAAATATGAACAATATGGGACTTCCGCCAAGATGGAGGTATAGGTGGATGTGCCGTGCCTTCTCACACAACCAAGTGTAGGGACAACTAAATATTAGCATCAGAAAACACAACCAGAACACGGAAAATTGAACTTTTCGGAAGTCCGTTAACAACAAATTCTTCAGCCTGACCGGTAAGGGGCGAAAACCGGCATCTGGTGAGGGGTTGCACAGGAGGACTGGGTCGGACCCGGGCACGGAATCCAGAGCGCGAATCCAGACGCACGGGTTCCAAACGCAGGATTGGATCTAGTGAGCGACCGAGCAACCCACCGGGTGAGCGACTGCAGAGGAGACAGTGGGGAGGCGGTGCTGCGTGTTGACTGTGGTTGCCTATGCGTGAGCGGACAGGCGAGGGAGTGGGCGGTTGGGCCGCGGCATAGAGGGTGCCGCCATTTCCCCGCTCTGACCACGCCCCCACATACAGCGTCACAACCCAGCGACCTGGGAGTCCAAGGCGCCGCTTCTCATATTTAAAGGGCCAGAACAGACCAAAAATGTCGCAGGAAGACCTCAAAGCCCCAGAGATAAATCTAAGCGACGAAGAAATAGCAAAACTCTCAGACGCACAGTTTAAAACACTGGTCATCAGGATCCTCACAGATCTGGTTGATTACAGCCACAAATTAGAGAAACATATGAAGGCTAAACTAATGGAAATGAATGGAATTCCACAGGAAACCCATAGAGATGAAAAGGAAACTGGGACTCAAATCAATGGAGTGGACCAGAAGAAAGCAAATAATGGCCAAACAGAAAAGAGTCAAGGAGCAAGAATTCAAAGAAATGAGGAGAGTCTGAGGAACCTCCAGGACATCTTTAAATGCTCCAATATCCAAATTATAGGGGTACCAGAAGGGGGAAAGACACAGCCACCAGTGGAAAACTTATTTGAACAAATAATAAAAGAAAATTTCCCCAATCTGGCAAAGGAAATAGATTTCCAAGAAATCCAAGAAGCTCAGAGAGTACCAAAAAAGTTGGACTCAAGAAGAAACACACCAAGGCACATCATAATTACATTAGCCAAAATTAAAATGAAGGAGAGAATCCTAGAAGCAGCAAGAGCTAAGGGGACAATCACCTACAAAGGAGTCCCCATCAGACTGTCAGCAGATTTCTCAAAAGAGACCTTACAGGCAAGAAGGGGCTGGAAAGAAATATTCCAAGTCATGAAATCTAAAGACCTACAACCAAGATTGCTCTATCCAGCAAAACTTTCATTTAAAATGGAAGGACAGATAAGGTGCTTCTCAGATAAGATCAAATTCAAGGAGTTCATCATCACCAAGCCCTTATTATATGAAATGTTAAAGGGACTTATCGAAGAAAAAGAAGTTAAAGAAACATGAACAGTGAAAGGACAACAAACTCACAGTTATTAACAACCACACCTAAAATGAAAGCAAACTAAAAGAACAGCTAGATCAGGAGTGGAAACATAGAAATGAAGATCTCAAGGAGGGTTAGCAACAGGGGAGTGGGAGGAGGAGATGGGGGGAGAAGGTACAGAAAATAAGTAGCATAGACAGTAGATAGAAAATAGATGGGGGGGGCAAGAATAGCACGGGAAATATAGAACCTAAAGGACTTGAGACACATGGACATAAACTAAAGGGGGGTAATGGTGGGGATGGGGGGCAGGGTGGAGGGGAATGAAGGGGGGAATAGAACAACTGTAACAGCATAATCAATTTTAAAAAATAAAAAAAATATGAACAATATGAACAGTAAAAAGATAACAAATTCACAGTTATTAAGAACCACACCCAAAACAAAAGCAAACTAAGGGGACAGCTAGATCAGGAGCAGAACCATAGAAATGGAGATCACATGGAGGGGTAGTAACAGGGGAGTGGGAGGAGGAGAAGTGGGGGAGAAGGGACAGAGTATAAGTAGCATAGATGGTAAATAGAAAATAAACAGGGAAGAGGACAAGAATAGTATGGGAAATATAGAATCTAAAGAACTTGTGACACATGGACATAAAAGGGGGGGAATGGTGGAGGAGAGGTGTTCAGGGTGGAGGGGAATGAAGGGTAGAGAATAGGACAACTGTAATGGCATAATCCATAAACTATATTTTAAAAATAAAATAAAAAATAAAAACAAAAAATAAACAAAACTTCCAGAAAATTGAACTGTATGGAAGTTCAACAACCAAGGAGTTTAAGAAGAAATATTCATCCAGATCAGTAGGAAGGATGGAGATGGGCAGCAGGGACAGAGAGGACACAGGGCAAGGCAATGCCTGGAGGACCTAGAGGACCTGGGTGGGTGATGTGGTGGCTGGCAGAGTGGGTAGTCCCACATTTACATGCAGATAAACTGGGAGGAACAACTGGGGAGCAAGGCAGATCACACAACCCAGGATTCCAGTGCAGGGAAATAAAGCCTCAAACCTCTGGCTGAAAAAAACCTGTGGTTGCTGCAGCAGAAGAAACTACCAGCCTCACAGGAGAGTTCATTGGAAAGAACCACAGGGCTCTAGGGTGTAAACAAAACCACTTACCCAGGAATCAGCACCAGAAGGGACCAATTTGCTTGCGAGTAGTGGCAGAAATGACTGAAAGCCAGCCAAGAGCTGAGCAAGTGGCACTGTTCCCTCTCAGACCTCTCTCCCACTGACAGCAACATGACGCAGCCAAGTGGGTTGCTCCACCCTGACAAATGCCTAGGACTCCACCCCTTACTATGTAACAGGCACACTGAGACAAAGAAATATGGCTCGAAAGAAAGAATAGATCAAAGCTCCAGAAAAAATACAAAGTGATAGCCAGCCTATCAGATGCAGAGTTCAAAACACTGGTAATCAGGATGCTCACAGAAATGGCTGAGTATGGTAGCAAAATAGAGGAAAAAGTGAATGGTATGCAAAGTGAAATAAAGGGAAATCTACAGGGAACCAACAGTGATGGGAAAGAAACCTTGACTCAAATCAATGATTTGGAGCAGAGGGAAGAAATAAACATTGAACCAGAACAGAAGGAAGAAAGAAGAATCAAAAAAACTGAGGAGAAGCTTGAGAACCTCTGGGACAACTTTAAACATTCTAACATCTTGTCAAAAGAAGAGAAAGAGCAAGAAATTGAAAACTTACTTGAACAAATAAGGAGAATTTCCCTAACCTGGTAAAGGAAGTAGACTTCCAGGAAGTCCAGGAAGCTCATAGAGTCTCAAAGAAGTGGGGCCCGAGGAAGCCCACACCAAGGCACATCATAATTACACTACCCGAGATTAAAGAGAAGAAGAGAATCTTAAAAGCATCAAGAGAAAAGGAGACAGTTATCTACAAAGGAGTTCCCATAAGACTATCAGCTGATTTCTCGAAAGAAACCTTACAGGCAAGAAGTGGGTGGAAAGAAATATTCAAAGTCATGAAGGGCAAGGACCTACATCCAAGATTGTTCTATCCAACAAAACTATCATTTAGAAGGAAGGGCAGATAAAGTGTTTCCCAGATAAGGTCAAGTTAAAGGAGTTTATCATCACCAAGCTTTTACTATATGAAATGTTAAAGGGACTTATCTAAGAAAAAGAAGATGATCAAAAATATGAACAGTAAAATGACAACAAACTCACAACTATCAACAACTGAACCTAAAAAAAAAGCAAAAACAAATTAAGCAAACAACTAGAACACGAACAGAATCACAGAAATGGAGATCACATGGAGGTTTATCAGTGGGGACGGGGCATGGAGGGGGAGGATGGGGAAAAGGTACAAGGAATAAGAAACATAATTGGTAGGTACAAAATAGAGAGGAGAAGGTTTAGAATAGTATAGAAAGTGGAGAAGCCAAAGAACTTATATGTATGACCCATGGACATGAACTAAGGTGGGGGAAGTGCTGGAGGGAGGGGTGTGCAGGGCAGAGGGGAATAAAGGGGAGAAAAAATAAGACAACTATAATAGCATAATCAATAAAATACATTTAAAAATTAAGAAAATAATTTCTGTTCAGTAAGCAATTAAATAGGCAAGCTACAGAGTGAAAAAGACACTTGCAACACATGTAACCATCAAAGGGCTCATAATCAGAAAATATACAGAACTCCTACAAATCAATAAGAAAAAAAGACAAACAAGCTACCAGAAAAATGAGTAAAATATTTGAAATGCTCTCTACAAAGAGGAAATTCAAATGTTTCATCAAATGTGTCAAGAGTCACATTGTAAAGAGACCATGTGGGATAGGAGGTATTGTTTGAAGCTGTCTTTGGAAAATGCAGTCTTCCACACTCTGATTGTTCTTCTTTTCCTTGGCTTGGTCATTTTCTTCAGTTTCTACAAAAGGATGCATTAACTTCCTTCCTTCCTTCCTTCCTTCCTTCCTTCCTTCCTTCCTTCCTTCCTTCCTTCCTTCCTTCCTTCCTTCCCTCCTTCCACTCTTCCTTCTTTCCCCCTTTCTCAAGTGAACACTGAGTGTTCAGCAAGCTTCAGAATAAGTGAATCTTTGAAAAGGAGGGTTTGATTCTTGATAAATGTAGCCAAAATATAAGTACTCAGAACTAGTAATCAGACAGGACCTAGATTGAGGACGTAGGTACTGGGTCTTTTCTTGGGCTAGACAAGGTGCTCTGAAACAGTTCTGTAACTCCAGCCTCTTCTTAAGCAGATAAAGAATCCTGTGAACAGGCTTCTGAAGTCAGTGAAGCACAAACTACAGACAGTGACGACATAGTGATACTGGCACCTCAGAAATGTCCTAAGGCAGTAAGTACATTGGTGTGATTATTAAGCTTGTGACAAGATTGTAAATAATAACAGTGTGCTTAATGACCATGTATGTGAAGTTCAAATCCAAATTTAATGAACCTGGTGGGAAATTCAAATTAATTTAAATATACATTGAGAGTGAATAGAACTCTGTCGATGTAGTCTGATGAAAGGATCATTTTCTTGATGTGGTGTAAGTGAGGACTTGCTTCAACACTTCTCTCTCCTGTTTGGATTCCTTACTTGCCTTCTTCATTGTGTAAGGAGAGCAGGTTTATTTGAAGAAGTAGAGGCTGGAAGAGAGGAAAGGATTCTTCTTGGGAAGGCTCAGAGGGAGCATTCAGTTTCTGAAGTTTTTGACCCAACCTTTAAAACCATGTCTTTACAATTCTTTATTAAACATTTCACCCTCAACTCTTTTTTGGAATGAACAGGGGGCACATACACAAATATATGTGAATAACTATCCACAGGTATATTCAACAATCGTTGTATTAGATCTTGCCAGGTTATAAATGCTGTAGAAAACAATCACTCTCTCAGTGAGCCACTAAAATGCTCTCTGCATGTTGGTGCTTGGTAAATATTTGTTGTGTGAGTGACTGAATGGAAGGTTAAAATATAATTGAGAATTATGAATTTTATTAGAAACAATAAAGAAATGCACAGGTGACCTAGAATCACATGGGTAGGTGATGTGATATAAACTCTAAGGTTTTTAATAATTCAGAAAAGGGAAACTATTGTTGCTTTTGTAGAGGACAGAAAACTCTTCTTTGAAAGTCAGAATCTGTACTGAGGATTTGCAGGAAAATGAAGGATATTGGAGTGGGAAAAACAACTCGCAATCGGTAGACTTAAACAGTTAATGTGGCAAATAGTTAATTTTATCATTTTTTGAAATTTTTCCTGTCATATCTTTTTTAGACATTATGTAAGTAATTTTGAGAAATGTTTATAAGACAGAGCAGAGCCACTGAAAGTAAGAACTAGACAATAACACCTTAGAGATCATAAAGGTGAAAAAGATGAAATGATGTGTCTGAGATTACAGAGCTAGTTAGTGAAGGAGCTGGAACTCCAATCAAGGTTTCTAAACCATGCCACCTCAGACCACCTCAAAAAAACAGCCAGCTGGTCAGCAAATTTTTCAACTAGAAGGTAGACAGATTACATTTAAAATATTACTCTAAATTAAAGGCAGCTAACTAAGATCTCATTTTAGAAAACTTATGTGTGCCCAAAAATGTTACCTGAGAAACTAAATATGAAAACTAAGCCTACTTAGCAAAAAATTACTGTTATTATTATCAAATTAAACTTACAAGACAGACATGTTAAAATGGAGACAACTGTATTTGAATATCAATAAAGAAAAGTAAAAAAAAAAGACAGACATGTATACACTCAGTCATGATTGTATTTCAAAATAGCTAGGCATGAAAGGTTAAAGGAGTTGATGGCCCAGATACACTCCAGCTCTGTTACTCTTCTGCCTGGAGTCAGCCCAGATAATAGAGGAGGCAAAGGAGGGTAGGTTTAAGAGCATGGAGATTTGGTTCAGGCAGAAGTGGTTTAGATCCAGCTCTGCTACTTACTGTCTCTTAGGCTTTGTTTCCTCATCTGTAAAGCACTAATGTTAAGTGTGTCTACCTTACAGTGATGAGGGAAGATTTAAATAAGGTAGTGTGTGGTAAGGGTTCAGTACAATATCAGGGACAAATTAAGCCCTAAATGATAGTGATGACAATGTTGATGATGGCAATATTCTAGTCTCTCTAAAATATTCTAGTTCTCAAGGTCAAGCTTTTATAATCTGGTGGTAATCCCTACAACAAAGGACCAGGCTCTAAAAGAAGGGGATTGAAACCCTGGGCGGGCTTCGTTTATCTTTTGCCTATAAAGGTCAGTTGAATAAGTTGAGCAGTACAACTTCAAAAAGATCCTTCAAAAATGCTTTTCTCTTATACTGATAGTAAAGTTACACAATGATAATACATATCAGTCTTTAACAGCCTTTCTTTGAGTCCTTATTTAGGACAGTTCCTGTGTTCATAGGATGTGTGTAGGACCATTCTGGAGGCCCTATTCATCAGCACAGGGTTCCTAAAGGCCTTCTGTACTTATCTTCCCTCTAAGAATCCCCAAGAAATTCTCTCAGTCCAAAGATGGTTTCCTCCCGGTGAAGTCCAATTCCTGGTCCCAAGAATCAATCTCCCATTCTGAGTGGACCATAGAAAACATTTCCCTCCCCTTCTTAACAGCTTCTAATGATAAGGGAGCAATTATTTCCACTTGCTCTATGGCCTCAGGTTACTGTCTTTTAGCTGTAGTGTGTATCAAGAACCTTAAAGTTTGTTCTCTTTTCTTATACTCTTAATTTCACATATGAAGGATGTCCTGACCCCTTATATATGCTAGTTAATTAATTTTAGCAACTCCACCCCCAAGACACATTATCTAGCATCCTGAACTAATAAGCTGGAGGGAGCTGTCTGTCTGGCACTAATGCTGCATAACTAACTGCTATTAGAGTTTCTGCCATCAAGGTCAAATGAGTTAGTACATACAGTAGTTAGTGTGATTTAATATTACTAATTGTATACTTTTTTTTTTTTGCTAGTCAGTCCCAATAAAATTATGTAATGGAACTAGCTCAGGTAAAGGATTCTGGATCAAACTGAAACATCAAACTATATCTTAGCCAACTTGTGCTGTTACAATAAAGTGCCAGAGTATGGGTTGCTTATTAAAAAAAAAACCAACAACCCAGTAATTTATTTCTCATAGTTCTCAAGGCTTGAAATCTAAAATCTGGGTGCCAGCATGATCAGATTCTGGTGAGAACCCTCTTTCCGGTTGCAGACTGTCAACTTTTCACTGTACCTTCACATGGCAGAAAGAGAACAAGCCAGCTCTGACCTCGTCTTGTAAGGGCACTAATCCCACTCATGAGGGCTCCACTCTCATGATCTAATTACTTCCCGAAGGTTCCATCTCCAAATACAGTCTACAAAGTGCTTTCCAACAGAACTATAATGAGAGCTGCAAATGTAATAAAAATTTTTCTAGTGGCCACAGTAAAAGTGTAAAAAGAAATAAAAATTTTAAATATATAAATTAAAAAATATATTTTATATAACCTAAATATCTAAGGTATTGTCATTTCAATATAAAATCAATAGGAAAAATTATTGATATATCTTACATTCATTTTTTTTCATGCCAAGTCTTCAAAATCCTGTCTGAATTTCACACTGACAGCCAATTGCAATTCAGATTAGCCGCATTTCAATCAAGTGCTCAATAGCCACATGTGGCAAATGGCTATAGTGTTATATCCCATAACTCTGGTGCAATGTTTTTCAACTGTGAACTGGCATCTATTAACAGGGAATGTAATCAAAATTAAGTGGGGTCCCAGCCAGCACTAAAGAAAAGCAAAAGCCAGATATATAGATTAGAATACAGAAGAACAGTTTGCATCACACACAGTAAGGTTAAGAATTGTTTCAGGATACTTTTATTTCAGTGATCTTTATACACACACAGGCAGATAGATACACATACACTGAAACTTAAAGTCTTGTGGTTGTTCATTATTAACTATAGGGAAAATGTTCATCCCTATCAATTATGGGAGTTTTTTGGGGGGTAAGATAGAGATCACAGAACCATTCATTTGTAAAATGCCTATTCCTCAGACACACCTTGAGAAGTTCTGCTTAACTTTTCTTGAGACTACAGCACAAAATTCACACCTTAAAAATAATTGCAACACTTGCCAAATGGGAGAAATTTGACCCTGAGTCCCTCAAGAAAGAAAAAAAAAGGCTAATCTTTCGCAACACAGCCTGGCCCCAGTATAAATTGGGCAATGGAGGAACTAAAAAGTAGATTTGGAGCTCTTAATGAATGTCATACTTCATTAGAATTGTGTCTTTTGAAAGTGTTATAAGCTGCACTCGTACTCTGGAAATACTGCCTATTGCCCACTTTGGACACCCTGGTGACTTCCTTTTGTCCCCAGACCTCACGGTCTCTGTGACAGAGAGCAAGGATCACTTAGCTCTGAAGGAAATCACTGATCCTCTTCAGCAGGAAGCAGGCACAGAAGAGACCCTACACCCCTCTCCCTTAAAGAATTCAGAGCCAAGAATCTTTGCTGCAACACTGTAGGAGGAAAGGATTTACATTGGCCCCAGCTTCCTGAAATTAGAGAGATGTCAGCCCTTCTCCTGGCATCTCTAATGTGAAAATAGACACAGGAATCATTAAAAGGGAGGATGGTGGTGGTGGTTGTGACCCGGAAGTGGAACTGAAAGTACTGGAGTTGCTGTGGGAGGGCAGCATGGTCCGATATCCTCCTATGTGGCCTGCACTTAGGTGGGTGCAGGAAGCACTTTGCTATAGTGGCTAAAACAGCTATTAAATCTCCAGTATCAGCCAGCAGGTCTCGTAGGAGCTAATCTCAGGAGAATGCTGGATTGGTCTTCATTTAGAAAGTTGAAGGAAAGCTAACTTCTTAGATAGTTTCTTGATTCTGTCTGTGGAGATGGCTGAGAAAGGCTGGTCTGAGGACATGAGTCACTGGACTAGGAGGTAGAATGACACATTAAGGGACAATTCAGTCAAGTTGTCTTGGTCCAAGTTTTACCTATAAATTGATTCTCAAAGAGTAATAGAGTAGATGGAGTATGCCTGTGACTGATAGAGAGTAATATATTAGTTAAGTTGACCTTGGAGCATCACTAACCTATGGGAAATAAATGTCTCCTTATCAGGGTTCAGAGAAAATGTGCATCGAAATTGTCAGCCTGGCATTCTACTCAGAAGCTGAAGTGATGTCTGATGATAATGTAAAACAGGTGTATGTGGAGTACAAGTTCTACGATCTACCCTTGTCAGAGACAGAGACTCCAGTATCCCTGAGGAAACCAAGGGCAGGAGAAGAGATCTACTTCCACTTTAGCAAGGGTGAGGCATCTCCTGTGGTCTGCAGAAAGAGGGGGTTGATAGACGTTGAGACCAAGGAGTCAGAACTACTCTGGACGTCTGATGGGGTGGATCCAACTACTTTTCCTTAATCAAAATGGTATTTGCATATATTTAAACATATCAAGTGGATTTAAAAGATTTTAAATTAAAAGTAAACAAATCTAGATGGTGTGGCTCAGTGGATTGAGTATGGCCTGTGAACAGAAAGGTTGCTGGTTCGATTCCCTGTCAGGGCACCTGGCTGGGATGTGAGCCAGGTCCCCACCTGGGTGAGTGCAAACGGCAACCTATTGATGTTTCTTTCTCTTTCTCCCTTCCTTTTCCTCTCTCTAAAAATAAATAAATAAAATCTTAAAAAAAATAAACAGTTCATCACCCCACTCCTCCTCTAAAAATCACTCCCTCAGCCCTCAGCCCACCATACCACTTTTCACTTTATTTTGTTATTTCTTCTGCTATTTAACTCCATATTTCTGAGTGGTGTTTCCATTGTAATTTCCTGATCACCAACTTTAGAGATTATCTTCTAGCTTCCTATCTTGGAACATAAAATTTCTGTCACATTACACCTATGTCCCCTTCCTCTCATATAATTGGATCATACTTTTTATTTAATTAAATGTTAATTGTCTCCATTATTATAGATATGTAAATATTAATTCTTGCAGAACCAAGGAGTACACTATTTCCTTTCTTGTTTTTTTACTTGCCTCCACTTTTCATTTATTTTTATTATAACTGTTGTAATTCTTTTCATATCCTCCATCAGCTTTTCCAAATGTTGCAATAATTAAACTTGTCAAATAATTTATCTATTTTTTCCAGAAGACTTCACTCTCCTGTTCCTTTCTAGCCTACAGTTCAGCTACTACCACTGCTGCCATTTAGAACATTTATTCAGTTCTCTCCTATGTTGGATTTCCTGTCTCCTGTCTCCTTTTTCATCTTGTCTGATTTAATTTCTTTTTTTTAAAAAAAAGTATGGATCATACTTTCCAGTAAATATTCTGAGACAGTCATGCTTGAAATTTATTTTACCTATATATTCAGTTGATAATTAGACCTAGTATAGACATCTACATTGAAAACACTTTTATTATGAATTTCAAAACAGCCAGTCCATGGTTTTCTAGCCATGCAATCTTTATATGAAAACTATCCTCTTCCTCCCCAAAAGGTTTTAACATTTTTTCTTTATTGCTAGTGTTTTAAAATGTCAGAGTAATGTGCATATTTTTTATTTAATTGTTCTGGCCATTTTGTGCACTCTTTTAATCTGGAAGCTCGTGGTTTCTAGTTCTGGGAAGTATTATTGCATTTCTTTGATAATTTTGTCTCTAACATTTTCTCATTTTCTTAGAATTTGGATCTTTCAAATTGATCCTCTAATTTTATCATTTTCTTTCTATAATTCTACTTCTGTTCTTTCTTCAATTTTTGAGAGATTTCCTTAATTTTATCTTCTAGTCATTGACTGGATATTTTAATTTTATAAGAGCTGTTTCTTGTTCTCTATACCTTTTTTTTTTAAATATTTATTTATTTATTTTTAGAGGGGAAGGAGAGGGGAAGAGAAACATCAATGTATGGTTGCCTCTAGTGGGTCCCCTGCTGGGAACTGGCCTGCAGGGAACTGGCTTGCAACCCAGGCATGTGCCCTGACTGGGAATTGAACCGCAATCCTCTGGTTCGCAGACCTGCGCTCAATCCACTGAGCTACACCAGCCAGGGCCATACCTTTTTTTTTAAAAAAAAGTATATCCTCTCCTTAATACCGGATGGAAGTTTATTTCACACTTGTGTCAAATGAGTTCAGACATAGGCAATTCAAGGCTGAGGCTCTGTGCTACCATCAGGCATCCAAACTTCTCTCTTGCCTTCTTACCGTCCAGGTGCCTGTCCTCCATACTTTCAGTTACTCACTTTCCCCATGGTCCTTAATGGCTGCTGGTGAAAGGAAGAATGCCTCCCAGCTGAACCTATTAGGCAGGTTTCATACAACATAATGACTGGAACTTAATCATGTGGCCAAACCTAGCTGAAGAAGAGGCTGGAATACATATGCCAGTTTATTGGAGGCTGCAATATTCCCATATAAAAATGAGAAGGAAAGGAAGGAATGGATGTTGAGACAAGCACCTTAAGTTGAATTGCTGCAAAACCCAGATCTCGAGGTGGTTTAAAGAAGATGTCTCCCAGAATTTTTCTGCCAGTGAAGTAATGGGAGCACATCTGTCTTGGTTTTCAATGCAGATTGTATGGCTTCCTTTATATCAAAGGTTGACAAACTATTTCTTAAAGGGACAGATAGTATTTTAGACTTTGTAAGCCAAACTGTCTCCATTACAACTATTTAACTCTATCATTGTAGTTAGAAAGCAACCACAGATAATATTTAAATGAATAGGCATGGCTATGTTCAATGAAATTCTATTTATGAAAATGGGTGGCCAGCCAATGGGCCCTAGTTTTCCAACTTTTGTTTTATATATATTAATTATGGAAGTCTTAGTATCTAAATAGCAAAAGTGTACAATATTTGCTTTTTTCCCTCTTACACTAACACAGTGATAGACCTGGACCCAGTGGAGCAGAAAGGCCGAAGGCAGTTTCTGTTCGCCATGCTGAATAGACAAGGTCCTCAGCAAGGACGGTGAGCATTTACTTTCCTCTTTGGAAGACGGGGGATATTTGCATGGGAACCCAAGTGTTTGCTTGGTTTTGTGCTGATATCGAATATTTTGAACAACTTCTTTTACATTTACTCTTAATGAATTTCTCATCTACCTGAGTCTAATTTGTGTTCATGGCTAACTATTTAATAAAGTATAAAATCTCATAGGTTTAGTTCATTTCTCTCCCATACTAGCACCTAAGTACTTTTTTCTGAGGCAGAATTTATTTGACTGACAGTGCACTATACGGAATGGACAAACTGCTTCAGCATTTTAAGATAATTTGATTTATTTCTCACAAACACAGAACCATTGCCAGCTTACCAAATATTATGCCTTTATAATATTAATTTCGTATTTAGATTTTAAATATTATTTTTTTACAGGAAATGCTTTGGAATAAATAAATTCTAGGTCTCCTATAAATTTTAGAGAAGTCCATCGTCATTATTACTGTAACGTGAGGAGGCCTCCTTTGCAAGGTTCCAGCTGAAACACATGGGATATACTTACACCTAAAAAACTATTCATTGCTTAGCTGAAATTTAAAGTTAAAATTTAAGTAGGCATCTGTTTTGGGTTTCTCCCACTCTCCCTCCTTCTTTCTTCTTTCCAAAATCTGGCAACCCTGTCTCCTTTCCATGTGTGTATGTCTTGAGTCTTATAGTCCCTTCTCAGGCCAGTTGCTACTTTAAATTATACCAAGTCCTTCCTCTTTGCTGTTACAGTTTTGTAAAATACAGGCAAAAAAAAAAAAAAAAGATTCAAGGAAAACACTGTCTAAGTTTTGATTACTACTTTTAGCCTTACTTTCTTTTTTTAGGCCTAAAGGTATCAGCAGCACTAAGTTAAATGTAATTTCTGCTCCCCACCTCCTTAGTTTAAAGTTTACAGTGGTAAGTGATCCTATGGAAGACGAAAAGAATGAATGTCAAGAAGTAGGATATGCATATCTGGAACTGTGGCAGATCATGGAGTCAGGAAGAGACAGTCTAGAGCAAGAGCTGGACAGTGAGTAATCCATTTTTTTGTGTTCCTCAATTCCATTTATTTCTAAGGAAATCATCCTGACGATGAATACTTCTCATGTTTCCCTCCCATCTCATTTCCATCTACTACAGTGTTTCTTTTTTTTTTTTTTTTTTTTTTTTTTTTTTGGGGGTGTTTTTTTTTTCCCCTGGGCCGGGGGGGCCCCGAGCGTGCCTGCGGGACCGCCCGGTTTTGTTTGTCGGTCTCGACAGGGTATTTTGTATACATTTGATCACCACATGCTTCTCAAATCTGTTTTTAAGACTGTTTGCTGGAAGACCAACAGATTTTTTAAATATTTGCATTTGAATGTCTTTAGGTGGGCCTGCTCTGTCCAGTCCTCACGGCTCCATTACCGTACACACCTGGTACTTCACACACTTACCTTAGCTGCTGGGCTGTAAGAGGCATGCGTTTAAGACTATCCACTAGACCAGTGATTTTCGAACTTCCAGACATTAACTGGAAGATAACCCTTTAGGGGGTAGTTTAATTAAATTCGGTCAGAATTTGAAGGGAAAAACCCCTCCAAATATCAAAGTACATTGCACAGAGTATTTTGTGAAACTTCTGTACATGCTTGAGACATAAAATTATTACTAACTATACTGAATTTCAAGGGAAACTCTTCAGACTAAAGGCTACAAAGTTCAAGCTTTCACTAGTACACAAGATTCTTCATTAAATCCCCCTAGTTAATTGTGATTTGGGCCAGTTAACTAACCACTCTGTGCCTGTTTCCTCAACTATGAGAGTCATAGTGGCTCCTGTCTCACAACAGGTGCCATGAGGATGAAGGGAGCACTTCAGTGAAGGGTTAAGGAAAGAATAAAGTGCTTATGAACATGCTTGGCACATGGCAGGTCTGTTGGTTTTCCAACTCTTGCTCCCAATTTCTATTCCTGTCCCCATTTCCTAAGTGTGTCATGCTCTTCCTGGTCTCCATGCCTTTGTACATGAGGGAAATATTCTTAAGCCTTTTCTAGTGACTTCACAATCCCTAGAGCCAATGAATGCGGCTCAATTTTCCTTTTAATCAAAAGAAAATTTTATAGTAATTTCCTTGTTACGGTTTCCCTTCCTTTCAGCCTTCCACTCTTCTAGCTCTACAACTAGATTTTCTCTTATCCCTTCAAAACTCAGCTCCTTGAAATGCTTGCTGAATGGTCAGTCCACAATACTTATTTTGGTATCTCCTATATTCCTCTATTAAGATCAAGTTTCCATCCAAACATTTTGGACTCTGTTCTTACCAATTTACCTTACTGCCAAATCCAGTTGGTTTTCTAGTCATCCTACTTGAAATTTCTCAATCTTTAAACTCGTCTCCCTCGGTTTTTAGGCCATTTTGATGGTCCGTATCACTCCCTGGAGATGTTTCCTTTGCAGGCTCTTCCCGTTTGTGTTGGATTCCCTGGGTCATCTTGGCCTTTCATTCTCCACATACCCTTTCCTAGGTGTTTGCATCCACTCTCAGGATTTTAATTTCAACCTAGAAATGATCTCGAATCCAGGTTTTTAATACAATTTAGACTTAACAGCAAATAGTCACTACCTGAATGCCCTTAGGACTTCACCCCCCACTACAACCTTGTCCCTTAATGTTCCCTCTTAACCCACCATTCACCTTGTCATCCTAATTCTAATTACAATGGTCATTCTTGATTCCAACCTTCCCCTCACTCCCCAACATTCAATCACAAAATTCTACTGTACGTTCTCTTTAAAATATTCTGAATCTGTCCCTACCTCACTGTTATACTTCAGACCCCTGAATTACTGCAACAGCATCCTATCTACCCTTCCTGATCTATTTGTGCCCCTTTGTATATACTACCCAAATAATAGAGCCATTTTCCTAGAACCAAAAATAAAAATAATCACTAATACCTTCAATTAAAACCAAATTCCTTGGAAGATAAACCAGGCCCTTTATGACCTGACCCTTGCTTATCTTCGTAGCTTCATTTCCGGCACTCCTTGCAATTTTCAACTTGCCATGTTCTCGTGTCTTGGCACATTTAAAATCTTTTATATTTTAAAGACTGTTCAGGGATTTTTCTCTACAAAGCCTTTTCAAATTCCTCCATTCTGGGTTAGATGCTGCTTCTGAGTTCCCAAAGCACCTTGGGTTTTCATCATAGCACTTACTATACTATAATAACTATGTTTTCCTGTCTTCCACTAGTCTGAGTCCCCCTAAGAAATGAAGTAAACTCTTAAGTGTTCCTAGCATGCAGCATGTGACTTTTTCATTGAATAATGGTGCTGCCTGCCTGACAGTTCTTTTTCCTTTCCCAACAGTTGTTAGCCCTGCAGACCAAGCTACCCCAATAGGAAGTCTGAAGGTGTCCCTTCAAGCTGCTGCTGCACTCCGTGCTATTTACGAGGAGATGACTACAGATTTGTTTTCGAGATAGAACAAGGGCTATTCCATTCTAAACTCTGTGAGGGAACCACAGCAAAAAGTCTCTTATAAAGTAACTTGTTATACCTTGAATTTGGTTTACTGTGATCTCTCAATCTAATCATGAAAGCTTAGAATATGAAAGTTCGTTTTTGTGATACTAGATGAATAAAGGCATTATCTTCTAATGCCTTAGCAGGAACTACAAAAGAACTGTCACAAAAGCTGAATTATACAAAAACAAAACAACAACAAAAAAACCACAGTTTATTTATCTTTTAGTTCTTCCAAAATTGAAAATATCAAGTCCTACAGCTAAGGAGAAAAAAACAAACAAACAAACAAACAAAATCTGAGTCCCCTCCCCCCTCCTCTCTTAAAGTCACAGAACACAGAATGAACTGCAGTGGAACAGGTGGATGCAGAGAACCAGGAGGGGGAGGATGGCAAGGTAAACTCCCAATACTTAAAAAGCTGTTCAACAGAAACTGTGATAAATACAGGACAATGCAAGACAAATAAAATAAGAAGCAGCAGTGAAGAGAGGTCATGTTGTGGGTGTGGCCCCCCTTCCTTTTTTTTCTTTTCTCATCAGGGTGTTCTAGGCCCAAGCCATGACTCTTACCCCTTCCAGATTTACATGTTGATTCTTTTGAGCCTCCTTCTAGATTTTACTAGAAGCAGAATATACCATCTTATTCAGGTATATCAGAAAACAAACAATAATTTTGTTTCTACCAATGTACCATGTGTGAATTTAAAAGGAGGATGAAACCAACCCAGAAGTGTCACTGCTTCTTATGTCTTCCAAGGCAGCAGAAATATCCCAGAATCTGCATGTGACAAGAAACCAGGAAAACCCAGACAGAAGTACCACCTGACCTCCCTCACTAACTCAAGTTGATGGTTTATCACAATCATTAGCAAATTCTAAGAACCTGTTCTTGAGTACTGAAAAGATGGAACTTAAAGAGATATGAGGAAGGTCATAGCAGTAGCGTAGGATGGAGGATCGAATCTGCTGGTCAAGAACCATGGTACAATTAGTTAAGAGTCTCCTTGTACCAACATCTTGGAAATATAGCTTTGAGACATCAAAGAATAAGATGTCAGAAGCCACTGATATCCTGGCAGAAGGTGACAGGAAGAGAGAGGAATGAAATGGTATTTATTAACAGCGGAAGCCTCTGCCCTTCTTCAAGAACACCTCCTGCCTTGCCAGCTGGATGGGGCCATTGGCACGTGTCCCGGTGGGCCTGGAATTCCCCGAGTAAATTGGTCCACACAAATGGCCCCTAAACCCATAAACACAAATGGCAAAACTTCAGAAGAAACTAGAGGAAAAATACAGTTTCTGTCATGTAAAATTTTCAGGGATTGGCTGGAGGAAGAATGGAACTGAGGGCCAAAGTTCAGAAGTTACTTCCTCTTTTTCTTGGGGGGTGCAGAGCTGTGTCTGGAACCACGGTTAGAGCCACGGCCTGAACTATGCACAGATGCCTTCCTCTTCCGGCTCATACTTCGACTCTGTTCTTCTTCTTCCTCGTAACGACTTTCACGGTCCGCTAAATAGAAGAAAGAGGTATTCCTAGTTGGATATGTTAGCTTTAGGTAGCTAAATGCTACCAGATAGCATGGACTAGAACATGCTCTGGAGTTAGACCAAGATTTTAATCTTTACTTAGTCATTCACCAGTTGTGTGACCCTGGGCAAGTACTTAACATTTCCGAGCCTTGGTTTTTTTACAAAATGAAAAACTGTTTTAGGATTAAGTAAGGTAATCTATGCAAAGTACCCATTAATACTTAGAATACAGTAGATAATATTTCCTTTCATCTTTACCTTGTATTTGACATTTGGTTTCACAGTAATTAAACTGGCACTATAAAAACTTCCCTAACTTTGGAGAGGCCTGGAAAGTTAGACTATTATAGGACTTAGATTTAGAAACTGAGTGGCCTAATTCTTCTGGGGCCTTATCAGACTTGTAGCAGTCATGGCAATGGGCCCATTGGGGGCTTGAGGAGATCAAAAAAGCATCCAATTAGGCAGTCATGCCTCTTGGAGAATATACACACATTCCAGACCTTGTTTTTTCTCTGATGGGTAAGTACTAAACTGTTAGAAATCTGTGCCTCAAAAAATAAAAAAAAGGTTTAAAAATTTAAAAATTAAAAAAAAAAAAAATGACCTTTTCGGGCTTCTTCCTCTAGTTCATCCCAATCCTTTCCACTCTCTTCTTCACTGCCCAATGATTCCTTGGAATAGTCTGGAATAAAATGGATTAAACATTAGCATTAGACTAAAATGAAATGAAATGACAGAATACTTCCCTTCTAAAAAAGTAGTTTCTAGAAATGACATTAGATTAGGAAGCCACAGAAAACTTTTCTCTGTGAAGACTAACCTGATTCTTCAGCTTCTGATGAATAATCTTCATCACTGTCCTCTTCTTCTTCTTCATAGTCATCCTCTGAAGGATTAAAAGTCTCATCTTCAATTTCAGACTCTGAATCCCCTTCCTCAGCATCACTACCCTGGTGAATTAGAAAAAGAATAATATTATTTACTGTTTTATTAAATACCCTAAATATCTAACTCATAATATTTCTTTTTTTTTTTTTTTTTTAAGATTTTACTTATTTACTTTTAGAGAGTGGGGCAAAAAGAGAAACATCAATGTGTGAGTGATACATGGACTGGCTGTCTTCTGCTCACCCCCAATTGGGGACCCAGTCAGCAACCCAGGAATGTGCCCTGACTGGGAATCGAACCAGCAACCTCTTGGTTCACAGGCCAGCAACTCAATCTGCTGAGCCACACCGGCCAGGGCTAATTCACAAGTAATATTTCTTACAGATTCACTTCATTCTTCCTTGCCCCGGAATATTAACTGCAGAGATACTCTTAATAATAATGCATTTCACAGAGGTAGGAAGACCATTTTTTTGAAAACAATTTTTGTAAAATTTTCTTAAAAATTTTCTCCAAATTCTAAGGAATTCACTGAAAGAACAGTTTTTATAATTTCAAGAAAATCTTGTCAATGGCTACCAACACCTAGTTAATTTATCATTTACATGTAAATCTAATTTGGAGAAACAATAATACCAAGGTGTGTTCAGAGATGTTCCCACTTGTTCTGGTCTCTGAGGTACTACTTATATGGCATTATTCTAACTGCCCAAACAATAATGGGCAACTATATAGCAGAAGAGAAACCCCACACTCACGCACCTCACCCTCAGGCTCCAAGAAAGACCAGCCACCTTGTTCGAAGAAGCCCTCAGGGTCATCAACAATAGTCTTCATGATTTTAGTCCAGTTGAGGGACTGTACGCCTTCCGTATACTTTATGTCACAAGAACTGGGAGAAACGACATTACAAAGTCAAAGTCAATCCTCTACATTTTCTGAGAAGGACCAGTGTCAAACTGGTGGTCAGATCTCTGAAGAGCAAATCAGCTTTTCTTAAATGTATGGGAACAGGTATTCGCTGCACTGTACCACCAGACTACGCCCCAGACAGCTGATATGTGGACTCCCAGAGCACTAGCCCTCACATCAAAGCAGCATTCCAACTGAAGCAAGTTCTGTCTCCCAACTAAGCCAGTCTGAGTTCATCTCTCTCTTTTCCATTTTCTTCAGGGAGGAAGAACCCAACTAGAACCTGGTAAGCTGCTGGAGTTGAGGGAGAGACAGGAGGGTTTGGGGAAGCTGACAGAGCTAGAATTTGTGGGACAGAGTACTAGAGGACAGAATGATAGGGAAAGCTCTGGATATCTGCTGAGGGATTCCCTCAATTCTACAGCTGAGGACTGATCTACACAAGCATGAGAGGAAACTAATCAGAACTGGGCAAAAAAGTACTGGAAAGCGGTAGGCCACACAATTCCCAAATCTCACACAGAGGTGGAGATAATTCTTGCTCCCATCAGCTTCAGTGCAAAGACCTCATAACACACAAGGAACCCAGTCAAGTCCTCAGAAGATTGTTACCTCAGCAATGGGACCAATTAGCCCGAAGCCCTGACATGAGGGCTGTTCTGGTCCAGCACGCATGACATTTGAGAACAACTCTTGAAAGATCAAATTGAATCAAGTAACAACTGTACCTTAGAATAGAGTATTAAAAAATTAAAATAACAAAACTTAGCACCCCAAAACATAGAGTCACAATGCCTGGCAACCAATCACAAATTATCAGGCATAAAAAGGAGCAGGAGAAAATTCAACCAACAAAAACAGATCCAGAAAATACTAAGATGATGGATGAAGTAGCAAATAAAGATGTTAAAAAGCAATTAGAAATATATTCCATATGTTCAAGAAAGAAGAGGGAAATTGAAATGAGTTAAAAAAAATTATGTACTTACTCTCTGGGAAAAAAAAAGAGGGGGGACTGAGGAAACAGCAAAAATATTTGAATATTCATGGCCAGAACATTTCCAAATATGATGAAAACAATAAAGCGCACAGACCTAAGAAACCCAATGCACACCAAGAAGAGTAATCATAAAGAAAACCACACCAAAAAACACCTACTCATCAAACTGCTGAAAACCAATGACAAAGAAAATCTTAAAGCAGCCTGAGAAAAAAAGACAGAAGGACAAAGAATGACAGAAGTATCTCATCAGAAATCTTGAAAGCTGAAAGACAAGAAGCGACATCTTAAATATTCAAAGAAAAGACCATCAACTTACAATTCTATATCCAGTGAAAATACCTTCTGAATGAAAGCAAAATACTTTCAAGAAATAAGCTGAGGCAATTTACACAGAAAACCGTACTAAAGGTTTATGAGGCAAAGGAAAATGATAGCAGAAGGCTATCGATAGAAGGTTGGAACTACACAGTGGAATGGAGGGCACCAGGAATGATAAGTATGAGTCACACAAAAGACTGTCACCTGTATTTTGTAAATTAAAAGATTACTGTTTTAAAGCTAAAACGATGACAACAAATTGTGGCATTCATAGAATATTAGATGTATAATGTACGATGATAGCAGAAACGCCAGAAGAAACAAGCATAAGAACTTCCCAACAGCAGTGATGTATCATTTGAAAGCAGATTGTCATAAGACATATATGTAGACCTTAGGACAAATACTATACAAGTAAAACAAGGAGGTATAGTTAATCACCAACTATGAAAATAATAGTCAAA